GAAACAAAATGAATCAAAAGGCCCTATTCTTTCCTTCTCATAGAAACCTTTTTTCTTTCTTAATTTCTTACAAACTAATTTTTAAAATAATCTGTTCTAGAATCTTGCTTAGAATTGAAAGGTGTCTAGCCTACTACATGTAGTTTGTTCAGAGTTATCCACTTGCCTTTTGGGGAAATTAGAACTATAAGTATTTTTAAAGAGGCTTTTGGCCTGTTTCTTTATGGTAAGTGAGATTAGCAATAATTCAGAAGTCTCATTTGCAGAAATTTTTAATAAACTGAGATTTGATTTATCCAATAGGAGACAAATTAATCAAAAGCACTTAAAATCGCACCTATTTGGGGGGTATCTGGCTGGCTCAGCATAACATGTGATGATTGATCTTGGGGGTCATGAATTAGAGCTCCATGTTAGGGGTAGAGTTTACTTAAAAAAAAAAAAAGAAAAAAACTCACCTTTTTTGGAGTTCAGTTTCTTTTTTAGTACTAAAATTTCTAAACTAATGATTCTTCTTGACTGAAGAGATGGGAAGCATTTATGTATCAATCTGTTTTGTAATTTAATATAGCTAGTACAAGATAATAAAATCTATGTATGTGTATACATTTGTAATCACATTATTTTACTGTGATGAAAAATAAGAGGATTCTGAATATGATATATGAATTTATCTTAAATTTTTTATCTTCAGTGTATGAGATAGATTGAAAGTTTTTTATCCTGAATACCTCTTTTTAAATAATGTGATGCAACATCTCTATTCTTTAGTAAAGTGACTCTGCTTCATTAACTTGTATTTCTACCTAGCTATGTATTGATTATATACCACATTGCTGAATTTAAAAGCAGAAGTTCAGGGCATTGGAAGGCTTAAAACAGTTCTTAAACTGTTAGAAAAAGCAGAATACAGGTTTTTTTCTACCAAATTTACTTCTTGTTAGTCATTTAACCCACACATTCCTAAACTATAGTCTGTCCATGGTTTGGGACAAAGACAAAGAGCTGATAGTCTGTTTACCAATGTAGATGTACTTCTAAAAGCTCATCTGCTAACTTTTTAAGTCATGCTAGTGATGAGAGGGATGCAGGGCAGAGAAAATCTTTGAGCAGCTCCGGAGCTGATCTCAACAGATAGCTTTTCCTGTTATTTATAAAAATAGAGCAAGTAAGGGCGCCTGGGTGGCTCAGTTGGTTAAGCGACTGCCTTCGGCTCAGGTCATGATCCTGGAGTCCCGGGATCGAGTCCCACATAGGGCTCCCTGCTCAGCGGGGAGTCTGCTTCTCCCTCTGACTCTCCTCCCTCTCATGTTCTCTGTCTCTCATTCTCTCTCACGCAAATAAATAAAATCTTAAAAAAAAAAAAAAATAGAGCAAGTAAGTACCACATGTTAAACCTGATTCTGTGGAACTAGATTTGCCTCAGATAATTGGAGGTGGTGGGGAATTGAAGAAGAAAGAATTAGTATCTTTTCTGCAAACTGCTCAGGAATTTTCACTGTCCTTCCTCCCATATACTTCTTTTTGTAATAGCAAAGAATACGAAGGATGCATACAAAAGATTCAGCATGTTTCATAGCAAAGCGGGTATATTTATAAACATTATTTTTGTTTTAAGCTATCAGAGTAGAAATTGGAATAATTTTTTAAAATAAAATTTATTTCGGGGCCCCTGTGTGGCACAGTCAGTTAAGTGTCTGACTCTTGTTTTCCGCTCAGGTCATTATCTCAGGTTCTTGAGATCAAGCCCTGCATCAGGCTTTGAGCTCAGCAAGGAGCCTGCTAAAGTTTCTGTCTCCCTCTCCTGCCCCTCCCCACACTCATTCACTCTCTCTCTCTCAAATAAATAAATAAATCTTTAAAAAAAATAAAATTGAATTCAAGGGCACTTGTATAGCAAAGAATTGCTTTTGTTGATACTTGAAACCTATTATGCTCAATCACTTTAATCTGCATGCAGAGAAACCCTTTGAACTCTCAAATTTAGTTACCTTCCAACTTCCACAGAGGCACTGTAAATCTTGCCATATTTCATAACATGTAATGAAATATATGTACAGTGCCTCTGTGACACTGTTTATAGATTAAATATAGCAATAAAAGAGGATTTGTTTCATAGACTATGCAAATGCATAACTATGCAGAAGTATGAGATTGTCTTTTTTTTTTTTTTTAGAGAGAGTGAGCACACAGGCAGTGGGGAGGGGCAGAGGGAGAGAGAGAGAATCTTAATCTCACAACCCTGATATCGTTATGTGAGCTGAAATGAGTCGCATGCTTAACCAACTGGGCCACCCAGGTATCCCTGTATTTTTCATTCTTTTTTTAAAGATTATTTATTTGAGAGTGAGAAACAGCACAAGTGGGGGAAGGAACAGAGGGAGAGAATCTTCAAGCAGACTCCCTGCTGAGCCCGGAGCCCAACAAGGGGCTCAGTTTCACAACCCTGAGATCATTACCTGAGCCGAAGAGTCAGATGGTCAAGCGACTGAGCCACCCACGTGCACCCTGTATTTATTATTAAAGGCAGCCTACAGGCATTTTGGAGCTTTGATTTTCAACCAGGAAGGAAATGCAAATTTTTAAACTATTCAGAGGTTAAAAATAGCAACCTGGGTAAGGCTGGGGAGATTGATTTTTGACTAATAGATTGGTATTCTGACTAATACCATACAGTATTAAAAAAAAAAAAAAGGAAACAAAAAAAAAAACCACTATAAGACTTCTCTTCAAAAGGCAGACAAGACTTCTTCTTTTGGCTAAGAGAATCACATGGACCAGATTTACCTTCCCATCTGAAACCGAAAAATGGACAAAGTATATGAAACAGTGCTTTTCAAAAGAGTGGACATAAGGAAGTGAAACACAGTGATCCCTGAGAAAAAAGAAAGAAGAAGTCCTACCATGTTGGTGCACCTGGGTGGCTCAATCCGTTAAGTACCTGCCTTTGGCTCCGCTCACGATCCCAGGATCCTGGGATCCAGCCCCGTGCAGCATGCAGCATTGGGCTCCTTGCTCAGCGAGGAGCCTGCTTCTCCCTCTCTCTCTGCCCCTCCCACTTGTTCTCTCTCTTTCTCTCTCTCGCTCTCAAATAAATAAATAAATAAATAAATAAATAAATAAATAAAGTCCTACCATGTCCTAGATCACTGTCTTAAGAGTGTCCAGGCAGCTTCAAAGGGAAGGGAACCCACACAGAGCTTGGCAAACTCCTTGTATTGAGGAAATGGAATTGAGAGGCCAAACAAGACAACTAGAGTTTGTAGGAGAGTAGAGGGCTACACAGAGAGGTCTTCAGAGAACTACAGAGGGGACACCCCCCCAACCCCCTCAAGTATTCAGCAGAATACCCAGCACATGTATGTACAGAAATGACCTGAGGCTAGAAAAAGAATCATCCAAAAAATTAGAGGGAACAGTGTTTGGCATTCATACAGGGCTGGGGTACAGCACCAGCCAGACTAGAAATCTTGATTCACAGGGCATGAGGTGGAGTATACAGAAGTGTCCTGCGTCATTAGGGGGAAATAATTAATGCCAGACCGAACATTACTTTAATTCCATGTAACAAATCTTAAAAGCAAACCTAAAGAGATCAGTTTTCAAGTTAGTTAGCTGAGTTCTAGAAAAATAAAGAATGTTTATAGAAATACAAGAATATCCAATACTTCCCGTAAAGTTAATTTACAAAGATTACCTGGCATGCAAAATAGCATGGAAATAAAGCTCACAATAAGGAAAAAAATCAAACCCACCCAGAACCAGTATAGATGTTAGAATTAACAGACAAGATCATTAGTTATTATAACTGTATTTCACATGTTCAAAAGTTAAGTAGAGACACTACTTTAAAAAAATTTAATAAAACGTAATAAAATAATTTAGTTGTAAGGATCAAGTAGGCTTATCGGTCACATATTATAAAATGACCTCATTGTTATCTGGCTTTACTTTTTTTACTCATATTTAGAGAAAATTTTGAAAGAATGCATCAGCCATGAAAATAATTTCAAGTGTCATTTCATTTACAGGTCTGCATTACATTTACTGAATTTGGAAAAATGCAAAATATTTGTAACTTTCTTATTGAAAAGTTAGATAGCTCTGTTGTCATCAGCCAACCCCAGTTCTATCATACTCCAGGTTCTGTTGAGAATCTTCGGTAAGTTAAGTACATCTTTAACTAAATTACCAATTAATAAAAATTATTCAGTGTTAGAGTTCATTGAATGTCATATTAATAATCTCTGCATTTAATTCTTAAGACGAAAAGCCTGTCTTGTTGCTGTTGAGAACGCACGGCGCAAAGCTCAAGAAGTCTGTAACCTTGTTGGCCAAACTTTAGGAAAACCTTTATTAATCAAAGAAGAAGAAACGAAAGAATGGGAAGGCCAGATAGATGATCTCCAGTCATCCAGACTCTCAAGTTCATTAACTGTACAACAAAAAATCAAAAGTGCAACAATACATGCTTCTTCAAAAGTATTTATAACTTTTGAAGTAAAGGGGAAAGAGAAGAAAAGAAAAAACCTCTGAAATTCCAACTAAAATATATTGTGTTTGTGTCATTTTATTTTTATACTTTTTATGTTTGCTTTTGTCCTGAAAATATATATTGTATATTATATAAAGTATTTCTCCCCAAAATCTGTCAGTCCTTGAATACAGTCCCACTAATACCTAAGTTTACTTTCTATCTTTAAAAACTTACTATGTGGAGGGGAGGGGGTGCCTGGGTAGCTCCGTTGTTAAGCATCTGCCTTCAGCTCAGGTCATGGTCCCAGGGTCCTGGGATCGAGCCCCGCATCGGGCTCCCTGCTCTGCGGGAAGCCTGCTTCTCCCTCTCCCACTCCCCCTGCTTGTGTTCCCTCTCTTGCTGTGTCTCTGTCAAATAAATAAATAAAATCTTTAAAAAAAAATAAATGAAAACTTACTATGCGAAATACTCTGAAAATAAATGTGTTATATGTGCACAATTATATACTGACAATATAAGTGATGTGTAAAATTTTTATATTTCTATTACAGGAATAAATATTGGCAGTCTTATTAGTATGATTCTTAACATTAATAGAACAGAAAGAATAGAATGACGAGTAATATATAACTTTTGATAAAAGGGTAGTGAGGTATACTAGGAAAATATTTTGATGCCAGAAATAAAATAAAGGGACCAGATACTCTTCACCAGGCTCCTTTGATTATACCAGCACTCTCCAATACAAGTAAATGCAAGCCACATATGTAATTTAAAATTACCTGGGAGATACATATAAAAAAAGTAAAACAAAAAAAAGCCGTTGAAACTAAGTTTAAATATTTAATCTAATGTGTCCAAAATATTATCATTTCAGCATGTAATCAATATTTTAAAAATAATTAATGGCTAAGTTTTCAAAATCTATACATTGTATATCATAACAAATCTTAATTCAGATGCTAAATTTTCATCAGAAATACTTGATCTGTATTTATTTCCTAAAATGTAGTTGAAAAACTAGATTCATACCTGCAAGTTGTTCCAAACATGCTTAAAAGAGCTAGTAACTCTGCATCAGGTAGCAATTTTCAAATTAAGATTTTTAAAAATTTAAAATTCAGTTCCCTGATTGTACTAGCCACATTTTAAGTACTTGAAAGTGGTTAATGGCTACTATGTTGGACAGTGCAGGGTTTTACACTGAGACAATACTGATCCTTAAGGCTATTTGAGATGTAGCAGCAAGTACATGGCATTGCTGTTGCCTTGCACATTATCTGCAGGTGATCATAAACCAAGACTGGTATGTAGCATAGGCTTCCCATTCCCCACCACAGAGCTGTGGGTCCTAGGGTTATTCCTCTGACCTATGTCCATATTGCTATACGAATATTACTTTCCCACAGCACACTCCAGTACGTAGTTGACATCTCCACCCACTTCGTTAAGTGGCACCGAAACAGTTTTATCCATCTCCTCTGTAGTGTCCTTGGCAGGAGAGAATGTGAAAGCTAAGAAGAAAAGTTTTAGGATCCGACACCCTGTGTTCAAATCCGGACTTTACGACTAAAATGTAAGCTCCTTTAGAATAAAGATCTTGTCTTGTTCACAGCTGCAGTCTCAGACCCAGCAGAGTGTCAGGGCCAAATATCTGCTGAGCAAATTTACCAGATGGGGAAACTTAGCAAGCAAGGCACTTTGATCTCTTCAAGCTTCTCTTTCCTCACCAATAAAATGAGGCTAAATACCTACCTTGCAGTGTTACTATAAGGATTAAAGTTGATAAATACAAGACCACAAGAATAATGCCTGCCACACCACAGCTGTCAGTCAATAAATAGTAGCCATTATAGCAATTGCATTCTTTGATTACTGCCAACCCCACTAAACTAAAAGTTGGCTCTTCCAAGTCTTCCGTTAAGATGGATTTTTAAATACTTATATTAAAAACATTATCACAAAACCAGTTTAGGATATGTTTTTATTTCAAAAAAAAAGCTAAGTAAATTATATTTTAGCTTTTATTTATCCAGTTGGATAGAAAAGTATATTGCGGCTGAACATCAAGAAAAAAAATTATACTCAATAAAAATCTAATTATGTGGGTAGATTTTTCTTAGCTGTAGCTTCATTATATTTTGGTTTCATCATATTTGGTAAAGTTTTCAGCTTAGCATGAAATACCTAAAAACAAATTTTCAGTTACCAAACACTTTTTAGAATTTACAGGAATTTTTAAAGATGGTGCTTTAAAAAAAAAAAAAAAGTCTAAATTGGGCAGTTCTGCAATTCTGTAGAGTGGCCAAGAGAAAAAAAATCCTTCAAAGATTGGACTGGCTTATATACGACATCCGAAGTGCTCAAGACTAAGGGTATCAAATTTAGCTGTCAACTGGTGGCAGTTCAATTTCCGACACACGGCATATACTGGAGTCTCACAATGACTCAGGGGGCCTCTGCCACAAGGCCTGCTGGAAGAAGCCTATCCCCAAACTAACCCTGACAAAACTTCTTTCTTCTGAACCTCCTTTTTAAAAACTCTTTTCAGAAAACAGCAAATTATAATTGCTGTTTTCTGAAAGAAAAAAAAATTCCCATTAGGATATCTGAAACAGACCCACTATCTTCCAAGCACCTCTGTAAAAGGAAATACTATTAAGTAAATAAATTTTCTAGGATTCTATTACTCAGTTACATGGTAAAGATTACATTTTTTTATAGTAGCAATTTACCTTATTTTTAAATATCAGTGTTCTTACTTGACAGTTAATTTTAGTTTAACGTAAATAAATAAGACCTGGAAAAATAGTTTGTAACTTAAGATGCTGTACTTCATATCCCATATTTGTTATGTGTCCTCCCAGCAATGTAGGTCGAGGATATCCTAATTCCATCTGACGATGAGAATTTGATAGCGAGGAATTCTTCTCACTGGCCTAAAAATATAAAACATGAATTATGAGGTCAAATATGGGAGTTAATATATTATTATCTACATTACAAAATTATATGGGAGGCAAATGCTTTACTACTCATTACCAAAAAAATCCACTATATAGTTTAACTAAAATAACGTTTACTATTTTTTATGCATATTGTATTTACAGCCAGACAGCTTCTACTTATAATCTAATGTGGCCTAAATTCCTTTAATATGTTCAGTTTTGTTTAAAAGGCTAGAATTCACAGTGACCAATCCAAGTCAAACAGTGTTCTCAGGATAAGGTAATAGATATTTTTCAAGAGGAATGATTTGTGCTGTTTTACTAAAAGAATAATACACCCTTTTATAACCTGTTTATCAGGAGGATATTTCTGTTTCAGCAACTCTTGTGGAGCTCTGGCTTCAACATCCCAACCAACAATTACCCCCGTTAGCCACCTTCCTTGTGGATGATCACCAGTCCCACCTCAAAACAGTTTCCAACGCTATCTTAGTTTCCACACTAAGGGATGAAAAGCCCAAGTGGCAGGAGAAAGTGCCGATCTAAATGATCCTAAAACAAGTTAGTGATCCCTAAATTTATTTATTTTTTTTTTTTTATAATTTTTTTTTTAAGGTTTTATTTATTTATTTGACAGAGAGACAGCGAGAGCAGGAACACAAGCAGGGGGGAATGGAAGAGGGAGAAACAGGCCTCCCGCCGAGCAGGGAGCCCGATGCGGGGCTCGATCCCAGGACTCTGGGATCATGACCCGAGCCGAAGGCAGACGCCTAACGACCGAGCCACCCAGGCGCCCCATGATCCCTAAATTTAAAAAAAAAAAAAATTCTCCAAATACCATGTTACTTACCATCTGATGGGGGTGGGGGGGTGTGTATCTGTTTTTTAAAATATAAAGATTCTATCATTTAGCCTCTGTTTCCCTTCTACAAACAATTTTGGGCAAAGAGTTAAAAACAGATTAATAGTTCCAATAGTTCATACATACATCAGGTTTACACTGATCACATTAATTACATACTAATTATGTTTCATCTGTCTCTACACAAGACCATGAACTCCTCAAGAGCAGGGCTATATCTTAAAATATTTCTTTTCCCAGTATCTCTGGCTAATAAAAAGCTAAGAAGAGGAAAAGCTGGCTGTCAGATATTTCGTTTTATGCCCTATCAGAGGGATCATTTATAGCAGAGTACTTGAATGTTGGTACACACAGAAGTAGGGAAGGAAAATACAAAGCACTGATTCGAAACGTATGTTCAAAATGTTTGCACAGTTTATCGCTAAAGGGGTATACTTTTATTTCTCCAAAACTTTGCTTTCTCAGAAAATAAGTCTGTGGCTATGCAACAACAAAAATTTTGTTGTCTAAACTAGTCTCTTAAATTATTTCAGACCCTATATTCATTTTAAGCTTTCAGATCAGCTCTCAGTGTGTATCTCTGCCCTTCACCACCCAGCATTGTCACTGTACCACATTCCTCACCAACAGGACATAACACACTGCTCAGGAAAGTTGCTTTTGAAATTCTGACTGCAGCCACTATAAAACTGCATCTAATAAGTTAACTTAGAACTTTTAATAAACAGATGCTTAAGTTGAATTTGTTTGCATTAGCATTAATTTTACTTTCAAAGCTATTTTAGAAAATCATATTTGTACCTGATAGCAATAATGCATTTATAACTCAAAAAGTTTTTATGCTTTTACCTTTTATTGAATCAGTCATATTTATTGTAATTCCATTTAAAAAGAATTAGTACAGTGATTCAAATATATCAACTCTAGCCCAAGTAAGTAAATAACATCAAAAGAAAATTTTTCTTAGTTTATGCTAAATGAATCATATATCTAAGATATTATATTCTATATTTGAGTAGGGGTAAGGTATAATTAACTCACTGTTGAATGTCAACCAAATAAAATACAAAATTATGTTTAACATATCAAATGTTTCACTAGCTCAGAACCCTGTAAGGTAAGCATAGATTTCTTTTTCATTGTCATTGTACCTATTTCTAAAATGATAAAGAGGCAGGGATTATAAACTGATGTGTCTCTGCAAAGAACCCAATATGAATATGCAGCAGAAACCTTTAAAAAATGTATTTGCAAACCACAGAGGCCATCATATATCTGAGGAATGACTATATTGGTTTCATTCTGTAGGAATGAAATTTCACAGTATTCCAAAATGTTACTACTCTTGAACATTACATGCATTTAAAATATTCAGTTGTTTAGTACTTCATTTGAATAATAGAGAATTAGCTAATATTAAATTCAACACATTAAAAATGTTTTATGTAGCGGCGCCTGGGTGGCTCAGTCAGTTAAGCATCTGCCTTCGGCTCAGGTCATGATCCCAGGGTCCTGGGATGGAGCTCCGTGTCGGGCTCTCTGCTCAGCGGAGAGCCTGCTTCTCCCTACCCCTCTGCCTTCTGCTCCCCCTGCTTGTGCTCTCTCTCTGTCAAATAAATAAAATCTTTAAAAATGTTTTATGTAAATGTTTAGACACTTCATTAGCCAATATTAACTAATGATTTTTCATATTATTTGGGAATAACTCCGGAAACATAATGCTGCAACAACCACACCACTAAATAATTCTGAGAACACCCGCAGCTCTGAGATTTGTACAGATTCCTGCCATTTACCCCACCACAGTAGCCCTGAAGGCAGGAATAGTAGAAATCCCAGCAGTATCCACACAGCCCACCCAACTACCACTTTTCTATGTGTGAACCAGAATGTTCAGAAAGGAAACATGGGAGTTGAGAGAATAATGCAAGGCATGACAGGATTAATATCACTTCCAGAGGTAAAAATGGAGGTTGTACTTTCTACTACTTATCAGAACTATTATCCAAGCTTTTTGAACACTTGTAGATAAATGCAATGCACCTATACCTAAGTATGAAGACTAGAAAGAAACAGGTAAATCTAAAGAATTTTAAAAATCATGATCAGGAATATAGAATGTAGTATATAGCTGTAATGCTACACTTGCAACATTGTTTATGAAAAAGAGGCAAAAGCTAAAATCAAAATGCTTGAAATCAATAAAAAAGAGAAATCACCAAAATTTTGTTTAAAATTCTGAATACCCTTCTCTCCGCTTCCTCCCTGTCTCACATTACAAACTGCTATTTCCCATTATGTTCCCTGTCTAGTCCCAGAAAGTCAGGATAAACAGCCAAAATTTACACATAAGTGCCCTCAATTGAGTCAGCCATATCACAAATAAGGCCAAACGTTTTTTAGTTTTTGCCACTGAGAACTCGGGTGAATTATCATGGATGAAGAGGTTTTCATGACTGATTTGGAAAAAAGTGGATTATGTGTTTTAAACTGTTTATCAAGTCTTAATAGTGATGGAAAATAAGGTATATTATGTTACTACAGCATATTTCTTTTTTCATACTCTTTCCAAAATAAATCCCCCTTTCCAGCCAAGCCTAAAATAATCTGGGACAAATGTTGGAATAAATATCAAGTTACCTAATTATTTCTTACAGTTTTTCTCATTCTTACGCATGAAAAATCAGAGTCAAAGCAACACCAAAATGTCAAAAATAAATTATTCTTACTTTCGAGGTTTGAAATGGACTTTGGATAATCCTCTTACATTTGTAGTACTCATTAAACTATTGTTTACTAGATGCCTGTGGTCAATGATATCCCTTTGCAAAAATTTATTTTTAGACCACTTTTCATTCTCAAGTGGTCTTAATGCTTTTAAATTAATGGATTTCCATTATTATCTGAAAAATATTAACATATGTATAGAGCTAGATATGTAGATATATAAATCATCAAAATAAAAGGGATTATTCCTTTGCCATATCACCATTACTAACACTCTAGTTTAAAGAAAATGAATCTGCCTCCTCTTTTTTATTTTTTTTAAAGATATATTTATTTTAGAGAGAAAGAGCACAAACAGGAGGGCCAGGGGGAGAGGAAGAGAATCTTAAGCAGACTCCATGCTGAGCATGAGCCCAACTCGGGGCTTGATCTCACCACCCTGAGATCACGACCTGAGCCTAAACCAAGAATTGGACACTTAACTCACTGCACCACCCAGGCACCCCTGCCTCCTCTTTTTTTATTTATTCTTACTCTTAGCTCCCTGGTCTTTAAAATATTTATGTAGGAATAACATGGATTTAATAAGTATTAAGTAGACTACAAGAAACCTGGTAAATCTTCCAGATGATCAGAAAAGACCTTTCCTAAATTTCTCTATTTTGTACACAATACCTTAATTCAAAATGTATTTTGGAAAGGGTATGTGCAAGCCAGGAATCAGATTAGGACTCAAAGGCAAAATTTGAAAGCAGATTTACATCACATAAATATATCCTACCTTGTCTTTAATAACCAGTGTTTTATATGCATCATCTTTCATCTTTTATGCATTATCTTTCATTCTCTGGTATAACCGTCTAAAACCATTCCAAAAATCAGAAAGCATTAAAAACAAAATGCTTAAAATAACAAGTGGCATTATGTATATTAATATATAGCAAATGATGCTGCTTGTTACATAATGTCTAGCTATCATAGGGGAAAAAGAGAGTCTTTTATCCAACCACATTGAGTTAATCTGTACAAAAGTAAGAGAAAATAGATCTCTCTCATGAAACAAGAGTATTAAAGTACATACACACATTCCATATCAGTAAATTTTCTTTTGTGAAATAAGGTGTCAGAACTTTAGATTATTTTATAACAAGAATATAATCTTTCAATCAAAAAAGTATAATCTGGCTATATGATATTTTCCTGCATTTCTACAATAATTTTATTTTTCCTTACAGCCAATTTCCTTTTTCCATAAAGGATCTTTTTCTCATTTTATACATGTTTAAAAGGAAAATAAATCATGGGGTGCCTGGGTGGCTCAGTCGGTTAAGCGTCAGCCTTCAGCTCAGGTCATGATCCCAGGGTCCTGGGATTGAGCCCCATGTCCTTCCTGCTAAGCGGGGAGCCTACTTCTCCCTCTCCCTTTGCTCCTCCCCCAGCTCGTGCCCTCTCTCTCTAATAAATAAAATCTTTAAAAATAAATAAATAAAAGGAATATAAATCAGATAAAGTTTATTGTTTAGAAAAAACTTTTAGGAGCATATTATTTTTAGAAAGTGAAATACATCTTACAGGGCAATCAGTAACCTCTGCAATACTTGGAAGTTTTTCTCCTTGTGGGGTCAGAATTGGTCATCTGATGGTAAAAAGAATTCTAAAGTCCTACATACCAATATTTAGCATTGATATGTGATTTTATAATAATATTTGGCTACAGTTCTCTGATGTCCCAAGAATTCACAAAACTGCAAACAAAATAATGAGGCTCAAGGTAAAATCCAGATTTGGGGAAGCCAAAAATCTTACCACATCCTCTACCTCAGCCCTCACTGACATGACATATGGTGCCTGTCTGAAATAGCAATACTCGGTTATTTCTTTTACCCCAAAGGATAAGTAGAATATACACAAATAAAATGCTGAAAGTAAGATTTTATGTATGCTGGAATAAACTACCATCAGGTATATGGAAGTCTGAATATTCTTTTTTTCTGAATATGGTTTCTTTTCCAACTATATAGGGAAATGACAGATGAAATAAAGTGAACAGGATGCCTGGGTGGCTCAGTTGGTTAAGCATCTGCCTTCAGCTCAGGTCATGATCCCGGGATCCTGGAACCAAGAACCACATCGGGCTCCTTGCTCAGGGGGGAGCCTGCTTCTCCCTCTGCCCCTCTTCCTGCTTGTGATCTCTCTCTCTCTCTCTGACAAATGGATGAATGGAATCTTAAAAAATAAATAACAAACAAACAAAATGAACAAGGAACTAAGATCACTTTTCCTTTATCTTCATAGTTTTGCTTCATTTTCCTTGAGATAAACCTAAAAAAATAAATATTTTTCAGAAATCATACTTTGTCAACTAAGGTTACTAAGTGACCTACTTTTCTCCAAAATTGTCTGAGCCCCCATTTGCCCATCAGTGCTCAAGCTAGTTTTTATTTTTTTAAGCTAGTTTTTAATAGATTTGATGAATATTTCGTTTGTTTTTTAAAGCTAACTACAACCTTTAAGTAGTCAAATAACTCAAATATTGTTGAAAAGTATTCAACTAATCTGGATAAATAGATATAGTGTTATAATTTATTAAGCCACCCTCTCCTGCCCTCCATGAAAAAGGAGGGAAGATTTGATTACACAGCTTCCACTACAAAAAGAGAATGCATACTGATCTTGGATTTGTTTTGTTTTCAAATATCTACAGAAGGATGATTATATCAATGTTAGGAGGTTTCTATTCCCGGACTTTACCTTTCAACATAAATGATAAAATGTACACATGTTGTTTATATCCTTTATTTGCCAAAAGCCACTAAGTTGATTAATCATTATTTTCTGCCCCTGCAATCCCAAAAATATTATTTTAAATAATATGTCAAGGTCTCCTTTGAAGGACAGTAGCAACTTTTTTTAAGGATGAAAGAAAATAAAAGAATTACAATACAGCACAACTCTTTTTTTTCCCTTGAAGACCCTGAGCAGAATTGTTGCCACATCCCTGAAACAAAACACTGAACTGGTAAAGCTGCCTGCAAAATACAGAGCTGCAAAACCATCAGCACACTATTTGCCACAATCTCCACAGTAGTAAGTCTTCCAAGATGCTTCTTTATGTAGTATTATCAGGCAAAAAGGACAAAACAATGTTTATTCACCTTTAATGTGAAAATTCCTTTGGCAGTATCTGCACGTGAAGCAATAGATGTTTCTCCAATTACTACTGCCAAACTCGGTAAGTTACTAATCTTTAGTTTTTGGCATTTTATTTTTTGGATTGAAAGCTAATTATAAGCATTACCAGGTCATTAGGTTTCTTTCCAGCTACTACTCAATTTAAAATAAATGATAAATAGCATAACATATTTCCCCTGATTCATGCACCCAATTTCCCACAAAACTTGGGTTCACTTAACAGGTGTCTTACATTTGTGAACCCAGATGAAAGCTCACTCCATATAAGCAGTAAAAATAGTTAAAGAGAAATCTTAGACTGCAAGAAAAGCTTCCTTCACTAGGATTAAAAGATACTTTCTTAAGGGGGGATTGACATTCCTGAGACCCATTTAATTCATAGTTCCTGTACTAAAACAATGAAAGGTTAGGAGGGCGCCTGGGTGGCTCAGTCAGTTAACATCCGACTTTTGGTCTCGGCTCCATGATCTCAGGGTCATGAGATCCAGCCTGCTTCTGGCTCCACGCTGGGCATGGAGCCTGCTTAGGATTCTCTCTCCCTCTCCCTCACCTCCTCCCCCTGATCACACACTTTCTAATAAATAAATAAATCTCTAAAAAAATAAAACAATAACTTGGGGCACCTTGCTGGCTGGTTCAGTCAGTGGGGCGTGCAACTCTTGATCTTGGGGTTCTAAGTTTGAGTCCCACGGTGGGTATAGAGTTACTTAAAATCTCAAGGGGCACCTGGGTGGCTCAGTTGGTTAAGCATCGGACTCTTGATTTCAGCTCGCGTCATGATCTCCAGGTTGTGGGACTGAACTCGCATGGGGGTCCAAGGCTCAGTTCGGAGTGTCAGAGTCTCGGGGTCTGCTTATCCCTCTCCCTCTGTTCCTCCCCCACTCCCCCAATCACATGCACACACACGCACACTCTCCTTCTCCCTCTGTCAAATAAATAAATAAAATCTTTTAAAAAATCAAATAAGATCTTAAAAAAAAAAACTTACTCCAAAAACAACAAAAAAGATACAGAGGCTGAGATGAAGTCCAGATGGAGGGAGAACGTATGGATTACTTAAAATATATTAACCAGGGGCACCTGGGTGGCTCAGATGGTTAAGTGTCTGCCTTCAGCTTAGGTCATGATGCCTAGGTCCTAGGATTGAGCCCCATGTCAGGCTCCTGGCTCAGTGGGGAGTCTGCTTCTGCCTCTCCCCCTGCTCATGCTCTCTGTATCTCTGTGTCTCAAATGAATAAATAAATAAATCTTTTAAAAAAATAAAATAAAATATATTAACCAATTACAATGTGGGGAGCTCATTTGGGTTCTGATTCAAACTAAAAAATATTTACAGCAGAAGATTTTGGGAAATGTAAATAGTGATTAGATGTTCTACATGTTTGCTATTTTTCATAATATGGTTGTTAAAAATGCACCTGGGTAGCTCAGTCAGTTAAGCAACCGAGTCTTAATTTCTGCTCAGGTCATGATCTCAGGGCGGTGGGATCGATCTCCGAGAGGTCTCCATGCTCAGTGGGGAGTCTGCTTGAGATTCTCTCTCCCTCTCCCCCCTCTAAAATAAATAAATAAATCCTTTTAAAAATGGCATCTTTTGGGGCGCCTGTGTGGTTCAGTCGTTGAGCATCTGCCTTCGGCCCAGGTCATGATCTCAGAGTCCTGGGATCGAGTCCCACATTGGGCTCCCTGCTCAGTGGGAAGCCTGCTTATGTTCCCTCTCTTGCTGTGTCTCTGTCAAATAAATAAATAAAATCTTTAAAAAAAAATAAAATAAAAATGGCATCTTTCCATTACAGTATGCTGTTTCTGATAAGAATATAGGAAAAGGATGGAAGAAAAAGAATGAAAAGGCCGGCAGGATGAAGCCAGATGCCCAAGCCCTGACGATTGTCTGAGGAAACAGATTATAGTGGAGGGAAACGAGTTGCTCTTGGATGACACTGCAAGGTCCATAACAGGGGAGGAGGGCATGCTTGGAGAGTGGCGGTGTGATGAGGTCACAGGAAGGAGAAGAGTGTGGAGTTATTCTTAGAAAATATATTGTAAACCCTGAGGAGTGACTGTGGAAGCAGCTGAAACATCAGCCGCGTTCTTGTTCTCGGGCTACTGAACGCAATGGCCTGCGAGGGGCAGGATCCCACGATCCCCAAGTGCAGGGCATGAGTTAGGAGCTATGAAAGAATGTGACTCTCAGCCCCCCCTTTCTGCACCTGACGATTGCCAGCCCTGCTCCTCCCGTATCCCAGGACTGACTCCCTCCGTGCATACGCGTAGAGGAAACTGCAATTGTGCTTAAAGATATTTGCCATCCCTTTGTACTCCTTTTTGAGGCATCTGTTCTTGCTTTTCCGATAAAAAAAATAAAACAAAATAAAAGTTCTGTGCAGGATTCAGTTGCTGCTGCCCTCCCTTGCAGAGACAGCCCTGCACAGCCGCTCAGATTGGTGTCTGAGATCTTTATTTCAGTGCACAACCACCAAGAGGATACTGGTTTCTCCCTGCGTAAAAACGGGACATATTATCAAGGTTATACAGCAAGTCTACCATGTATCTACCACCGTCCTGGGTGGGAATTGAGGAATGTTCAAGAGAAATACACATCCTTGAACTTAGCTCAGGAATCAGCATCAGAACCGAATCACCAGAGTAGACTATTCATGGAAACTAGTTACCCTGGTGTAACATTGGACAGAAACATCTATTTCCGGTAGAGTCAAGAGTTGCTGTCTGAAGAATTAAAAATATACAGATGTAGACCCAGGTTGTTTAAAAGCCACAAAATAAATGAAGAAACTGAGCAATGGGATGTAACAAAGGAAACAGGACATCAAAGGAGAGAGAGAAAGGTGCAGACGAGAAAGCAAACTTGGAGGAAAGATGAACACTTGTCCCTCAGGCCTCCAAAGGAGCACTAAATTATACACGTCGCCTCCTTCTTCCTCACCCCAAAATACCTGAAAGGACGCCACACAGAGAGAGGGCGCCGCCATCGCCCTGGTTCCTCTTCAGTCCTGTCCTAGGAGCCCAGGAAAGGAGGCCCCTCGCGCGACCCGCGCTCTGGCCCGGGGTCTCGGTCCGCACGCGGCCCCGCTCCCGGAGAAAGCCGGGATACCGGCCGCCCCCGGGGAGCCCTCCACCTCCGCCCGTGCGGTCAGGTCCCGGCGGGCGCTCCTCGCCTCGCGGTGCGGCGCCGGCGGCGACCGCTGGGACAGCGGGGGCGAAGACCGCGCTCCCCGCCCCCACCCCGGCCGCCCCCGCGGGCATCGCGGCGGGTGCGCGCTGCGCGGGGAGCGGCCGCGCGCACTCTGCGGGGGGCGTTAGCTCGGCTAAGGCGCCGCCCCCGGGGGTCTGAACCCCACCTTCTCTGCCGACTCGCCGCGCAGGACGCGGAATCTACAGTAGTCTACCGAGAGCTCCATCTTGTGCGGGGAACCGACGCCCTAGGTCTTGGCCCTGCCCTCCTTTGCGCACTGTTAGTGCCAAGAGGCAGGATGGCTTTCGTGTCCTCCGTATCCCTCAACCTACTTATACCGCCCGGGGCTGTAGATTTTGTCCACCCCCCCCCCCCCCGCCCACCTCAGGCTCCTACTCCGTTCCTATTGCAACAGCCTAACACTAGGTCACCGGTCCCACTGATCACCCCACTCCAGTTTCAAAATCTGATCCCCTCAAATCCACACCAGGACGCAGTAACCTAACTTAAATGCAATTCTGATCGCATGCTTTCTAGTTTAACACCTGTTGGTGGCTCCTAATGGCCAGCCCACAGAGGCTAACCCCCTCTGCGTGCTTTCAAAGGCCCCTCAAGATCTGGCCTCTGTGCTTTCCCCAGTCTCATCCCTCCTTGTCTACTCCAAAGAGTTGAACAGGCTCCCTTCTCTGGGATATTCCTCATCCCAATTGCCTCCCGGGCTTGTCTGGCTAATTTACTCATCTTTGAGTTAAAAACTGGGCTCTGACATTCTACCTTCGGGGATGGTATGCCGGCTGAGTTGGATGACCCTCTTGGGTTCTTCAGAGCACCTGCGTGTCTCCGCTGTAGCGAAGATCACTACTCCAGCCATGTAGTCACTTACCTTCTCGGCCCACTCGCAGCAGTTGATTACCTACTACACTGCACCAGGCACAAGGTGAAGCAGGTGTTACGAATTATTTAATAGTTACAACTACCCTATGAAGTAGCTTCTATTATCTCCATCATACAGGTGGGTATAGACTAAAAGAGCTTAAGAAATTTGTCCAATGTCACATGACCAGGATGTAGGGAACTCAGGCATCCATATTTTTAAAAAATCACCCTCCAGGTGATTCCCGTGTGCATCCGAGAACCAGTGCTCTAGCTTGGTGAGCTCTTTCAGGACAAGGGCCGTGTGCTTCATGTCTGGACCTAGTGTAGTGACTGGGATATAGTAGGTGTTGTGGAATAAATGGAGCTTTTATTTGTTCTTCTATACCACACCAGAAAGCAGGCCATTCAGGAATCATAGTGGCCTGTTTGTTGTTGTTGTGCAAAGAGACTCAGAAAGTTAAGTGACTTGATGGTTCACAAATGTCAGAATCGTGGTTAAAGACCAGGGACTTTTGACTCTTCCCAGGCTTTTTTCACCATTGTAGCTTTTTCTGGGACAGCCTCCCAGGGGAGGTTTTTTTTGTGTGTGTGTGTATGTGTGTGTGTGTGTTTAATTCTTCCTAGAAAACTTTGGTGATAAGAGATTCATTTTCACATTCTCACATCAGACATCTGTAGTGCCAGAGTACACAGTACAGAGGGACGGGGTAGGTTCATTTTTCAAACCAACCTCTGGGATCCAGAGCCAAAATATGACATGAAGACAGAGTTTGCCAGGCAAAGGAGGCTGCAACAGGCTAATGCCTTCAAAACCGCAGACCCTCCCAGGGTGAAAGGCTGAAGTGTTTTATCAGAAAATATGGGATCCGGGCTGTTTCCATAGGAATCTGGCAAGTACTGCGAGCTGCGTTCATCATGTCTTTCAAGGTGGGCTCATGACGAGCGCTAGCACCAGCCATCTGAGTCTCGTTCCTAAGTGTACATTGAAGTCAGCGAAATATCAGTATCGATACCAAGTTCCTGGAACAAAGGATTCTACAGAAAAACAAGTGGAGGGGGGGAGGCGGGTTCAAGAATGAGGAAGAGAAAAATTTGGTCAGTTTAAAGTCAAGTCACTCACTAATGAGTCCATCTGAATTTCCATCCATCTGTACTTTCTGTAGTGGTTTCAAGTTCTGGTGACAAAAAGAAAGAGAAGTAGCAAAGTCACTGGGCAACACTGCTGTTTTGATGTGTATCCTCAAAAAGAACGGCTTCAGTTACTGTAGTTATCTTGATATGATTCCAGGCCATCTGAAATATTGTTCCAGGTGGTTATGCCAAGCCACCAGGTTGAAGGGTTTTTAACTAAAAAGGTAATATGATCAAATTGGATTTATTAAACATAAACACACACACACACACACACACACTCATCACCAGCCAGCAACAGTGCAGGGGATGAGTTGCTGTGGGACAAAAGGAAACACAGGAAATGGTGTCCATAATAGGAAAAAGCTGGAAAGAACCACCACATCTACTGGCAACAGAATGATTAGATTGTTATATGTTCACACAATAAGTATTACACAGCAGGGAAAATGAGTGAATTATACCTTGTGTAAAATTATTGTCATATAAAGAGACAAAGAATATGCTTCCAAAAATGTAGGAAAAAGATATTAGTGCTCAGGCTTTAACTTAAAGAGGATTTGTTAAAGAGAACTTTGTTAAAAGAGAAATATTTGAGTGTTTATAATTTACAAGACCTCTACAAGTGCGTGAGTACACATGTTGTCTAAGCACATTCTACATTTGGTAGAAAATGGACTGGGAAATCACGATTGATGGCACAAATACTACTGAGGAGATGATCTCATTTATATGGGGAATCTAAAAATTGGAACTCCTAGAACCAGACAGGGGAGCAGTGGTTTCCAGGGGCTGAGAAGGGGAGGGGAACTGGAAGAGGCCAGCCAAAAGGTATGAGCTTGGTTATCAATAAGTTCTGGGGATCTACTTTACACAGCATGGTGATTATAGTTAATAATACTGTACTGTATACTTGAAATTTGCTAAAAGAATAGACCTTAAGTGTTCTCACTAGACCCCCCCCACAAAAAAAAGTAACCATGTGAGGTGATGGATATATGAATTAACTTGACTGTAGTAATCGTTTCACAATGTAGATATCAAACCATCACATTATACACCTTGTGTACATTTATATAAATATGTACATAAAATACATACAATTTTTATTTGTCAATTATACATTAGTCAAGTCTGGAAAAAAATAAAACAGAGTTTAAGCCAAAAAGTGTTGAGAACAAACTAATTAACACATATTTAAAGTGAAACTCCTTTTTTTCTTTAGCAATATCTCAACTATTTTTGTCAGAGGGGTTAAAAATGGGTATTTATTAGATTTCTTGGAAAAATACTGATATTAGGTAAAATGGTGAGTAAAATGGGGAGAAGCAAATAGGAATGAACAGATGATATACTCTTACATCTTTTGACACTTTCTAGCTGCTCCTTAGTAAGCGCAAGATGACAGAGTGTAGAATCAATATTTGTAATCATTGTAATATTATACTATGCCAAAATATTTGAGTCATATGCAGTGTTCCAAAATAAAATTTCATTTGTAATATAGACCATTTTAACCATTCCTCTAAATTAAGATTTATTTATTTGGGAGGAGGAGGGGCAGAGGGAAAGAAGAGAAGCAGACTCCCTGATGATCGTGGAGCCCATCTCCGATCCCTGAGATTAGGACCTGAGCCAAAACCAAGAGTAGGATGCTTAACTAACTGAGCCAGCCAGGCGCCCACAATTCCTCTAAATTAAAAGAAACTTGCTTTAACTAGGGATCAACAAGTTAATACATTTATTAGCTCACTCCTGGGATTAATAACTTGTAAGAGAACACTGAAAAGTTTTCTCAAAACTCAAGAAAAAGGGTATCTTTTAACGTGCCCCTCAGCTGAGAATTATTTTAAAAAGGTTAACCCAGAGGATAACTTCTTTAAAGTCTTGACTGAAATGAATCTTAATTTTGAAGATGAGCCATTATCTGAGTTTTGGTATCACAATATCCAGCACATTAAAATTATTTGTACAATGCTTTCATGTTTCTAAAATAAAATGTCTAGTTTTGTACACCAGGGCTATTGGTAGACAGGCATCCAAACTGTACAACAACAACAACAAAAAAGAATAGGCGGCAAAAGTCTGTTTACGCAGTTATAATCCAACATTTCTGTGTTATGTCTAGTGTGTATTAGGCTGTCTTGCCTAAATTCCATTTCTGAAAGTCTCCTGGTTGAAGACCTCTATCATGTAAAGAATTAATTCAAGGCAACACTCCTAAACAATTTCAAAGCTTTCTGTGAAATATGGCATATATAGAATTGCTCTCAAGATTTCCAGTGAATCATGCATTGCCCATATGTAATGATGAAACCACTCCCTTATTAGGTAATTCTGACATTTGCCTTCATAAGCTGAATAAATTTTATTGATAATAATAGTAACAAGTTATATTTTTTATATCTTAGGTATTATAGACAGAATTATCATCATGCTTCACATATGAACTTCTGGCCACATCATATGGATCATTGGATACTGAGTTGCATATCATGAATTAAATTATGAACAATTGAGATTAGCAGAGAAAATTATTCAAGGACTGTGAGTCTGCATTCCTAACAGTGTAAGACATCAAGGGGTTAGAAGTGATGGCAATACTTAAGTAAAAATGTTACACTGATCTTACGACTAAAATAAAGTCAAAAGCTCTTCAGCTGCTCGACCATCTTGAGGTGGCCATGAGAATGTGCCTTGAAGAACCCCATCTACAGGGAGCTCACTAGACCAGGGGCCCCTGCAGCTACACTCTGAGCACCGTCGCTGCATTTGCGCCATAGATTCACCTTCCTGAGGATGCTTCCTGCCAATATTGGGCACGCAGGGTTACTAAAGCAGGTTGCACACCTACCTGGGAGATGGGGGACTCCTCTGGCTGTCAACTTTGGTTCAATGACTCCCCCAGTCGTCCTGCCAAGTCTTCCTTAGACTATACAGCAGTCAAAGGTACTTTCATCCAGCCTTACTTTCCCTCTCACCTTCATTTGGGGTCACACTTACATTGCATCTGATGGATCTTAGGTTTTCCTAGCTCCCTTCCAATTTTCTTTCATAGGCATTTCCTTTATTCAAATCCTTCCATTTTTAATCCCATCTTGGCATGTACTTCTTAGAGGACTTGGACTAACATATGTCTAGAAATATACTGTTGGGGATTCAAGTAAAAGTAATGACAGATGGGTGGTTTTTAAAATCCAAGATATCAGAAAATGATTATGGGTAGTACAAG